ATTACACTGTTCTGAAACCGTCTGTGCATGTCTCCTCCATTATCCTCTGAACTTCTTGAGGACAAACTTAGTGGTTTTTCAACCCAAGCTCCCAAAATAACATATGCACAGTAGACAATGAATGTGTAGAAAATGGATAAGAAAAATTGTAATTAGTGTTCTAGTGGAGTATAACAATTCAGTAGACAATTGAGACAAGAGAAAAACTGGGAGGTTCTACAATGACTTGTCTGACTAGAGCAATATCTGAATTGGCTCATGGGAAGGTAGTTTTATTAAAGTTTAAAAAAAAAAAAAAACCAGCCAATAAGAGGAATGAATAATGAGGAACTGGCTCATGTGCATTTGAAAGCTAAGCGGTCCTATGACCTGCTGTCTCCACGGTGGCAGTATATTTTCAGTTCACTGTACAAAGGTCTGAGAACCAGAACTAGTTGTATGCATTCTATAGCAGTCCAAGTCAAAAGGCCCTGAGAACTGGAGGACTAATGGTTCATGTCCCATTCCAAGGGAATGGGAAAGGAAAACTATGTCCCAGCTCAGGCAGTCAGAAAGAGACAGATTCCTCCATTCCTGCATCTTTTTGTTCAGGCCCTCAGCAGATTGGAGATGCCCACCTGCACTGGAGAGGGCAATCTGCTTTACTCAGTCTACAAATTCAAACCTCTCGTGAAACACCCTCACAGACACAACCAGACAAAATGTGTAACCATTTATCTGGGCATCCTGTGGCCCAATCAAGTTGACACATAAATTAATAATCACAGGAGCACTTGGAATAATGGATATATACAAAGGACCACTCAATAAGGTTTGAGAAAAGCTCCCAGAAGAAGCATTTGAAGTATAAGTAGACTGCTGTGACTAGAACATGCAGAAAAAACATGGGTGATAAGAACACAATGGTAGGCTAGCCTGTGGTGTGTTGGGTAAGGGAGCTGGATCCCATGGCTGACTATGTGGTTCAAGGGCCAGACCAGGTAGTTTGAGAAACACACTGGGCACTTGTGTGCATGTCCAAAATCCTGAAATGAGGGAGCAGTGAAGGATGGGTTTGTGGCATGACCATTCCCTATGGGGGTTCTTTCTCACTTTCTCTCTGGCAAGCACACATGCCCTTTGGCAAAATTTTAAAATAAATAAATTAATATATAAATCAAAATTTTAAAAAAGATAGAAAGGGAGAGAGGGAGGGAGAGAGGAAGGAAAATATAATGTCAAAACATGAAATGGCAGTCTTTAGACCATCAAATATACTCTCAAGCAATTTTTAATTAAACTTAAACAGTGAATGTTTTCAGCCCAAATCTTTTATTTATATTTCTTCTCATTCATTTGTAACTGACTCCTGACAACTCACGCCAAAAATGGAGCTGTGTACAAGAAGTTAAAGCAAAAGGACTGAAATAGGGAGAGAAAAAGATGAGGGAAAACTGTGACAAATTATAAAACCAAGCAGAGGGGGACCAGCAGTTAGCGTATTGGCTATGTTGCTGGACTCCCACGTAGTCGACCTTGGTTCGCATCCGGACCCGGTGGCTTAAAACTCACGCCGGGCCCATGTGCTTTTCTCGCTTTCTGTCTGTCTGTCTCCCTCTGTCTGTCGAGCGCACGCGCCCTATAGCAAAAGCCTCTCAAAAAAAAAAAAAAAGAGCAGAGGGACCAGCAATTAGTGTAATGGCTATGTCGCTGGACTCCCATGTAGTCAAGGGCAGTTCGCATCCGGACCCGGTGGCTTAAAACTCACACCAGGCGTGTGTGTGTGTGAGTGCCCAAGATCCCGAGAGGAGAAGGGATAGCAGTGTGGCCATCCCCTGTGGGGGGTGATTTCTCGCTTTCTGTCTCTATGTCTCTCTCTGTCTGTCTCTGTCTGGCGAGCGCAAGCGCCCACAAAAACCTCTCCAAAAAAAAAAAAAAAAAAAAAAAAGGCAGATAGAAGTGTTTTCACTTGTATCAGAGACCTTGATGTCGACAGCTTGATCATTTGTATATTTATTCATATTTTTAACTTTGTCATTTTTTAACGTATTAGACCATGCTAATCTAGAATGCAGAGATAGAGCTCTCTGGAGACAACGAATATCTTCTTAAAATTAAAACATTTGGTCAATGAACTTTGAACTACACCTCAAAAGCTACTGACATTACTAATGAGTCAGTAGTACCTAAGTACAGTATAGAACACAGGTTGCATCATGCAAGAACAAATACGTACACCACCACCATTCACCGTGCTCTTTGCTTTAGGCACCAATTCAGTATTTACTGCACACCTGTTACAGGAAAGACAATGTTTTTGGCACACAAAGGGATACTGGGGTAAATTTCACTGGATCCAGATCCTCTAAGAACACAGAGTAGGTGTACATAACAGAATTTATAGTATGAAAAGTTATGAAAAATGTAGCACAGAAGGAAAAAGTAGGTATTCATTAATCTTAATAGGAGAGATGGGGGGAAGGTTTCGTGGCAGGGATAACAAGGATTCCTAAGAAGTTTTCATTTATTTATTTTAATAATATTTTTAAGTATAAAGGTGGTACATGTTCATTTTAGAAAAATTAAAAAATACAAATAAGCAAAAAAACACACTTTTTGTACATGCCATTTATTTATTTATTTATAAAAATGAGACCATATTGTACATACTTTTTAGTAAACTTTTTTTTTCATGCACCATTATACTCATCTTCCTATGTTATCTACTATATTTCTACAACTTCTGTTTTTATTTAAAGAGGTGCACATAAAAGGCAACAGGAAGAAAAGGTGCATTCTCCACCCTATCTTTGCAATTCTGCCAGCTGAAAACAAGAGTGCGAGGTCCTGGAGAATGGTGAAGCTGTGTGGTGGCAGAAATGTGACCCTCTGAATTACCATACAGAGGAAAACTCTCAATCAGAAACATCCACATTGGCCTATTACATGAAGAAAAATTAACTCCTATTTTTCAAGACACTTAAATGCTGATATTTATTATAACATTGTGCTTTACCCTGACTAAAACATATACCATTTTTCATATAAAATACCAGAACCACAGTTTCAAGGACGCATTTAAGGAATGGCACTTAAGTATTTCAATGTTAACTATGATACTGGCTATTACAAAAATATCTTTTGTTTCCTGGATTAACAAAAGCTGTTATTTTTTTTTTTAGTTCATTGCCTTTTTTTTAATCAAGAATGGATATTGATTTATCAAGTACCTTTGCAATATCTCTGGAAATGATCCTAAGATTCTTCTTTAATCTATTAAAGTGATATATTACATTAATATTTCCTGATGTTGAAATAGCCTCATATTTCTAAAATAAACTGTTTCTTTATATACTTTATTTCTTTACATGCTATTGAACACAATGAAATAACCAGAACAAAATTATAGATTGGAGAATTATTTAAACATGATTTAAATTTCCATTGAAGAAGTAAAAGTACAACAGATCTTCCAAAGAACAAATCTGTTATCTGGAAAAGTAGGTAAATATGTATCACAGTATCTAGGGTAAAAATAAAAAGAAACTTGAATTTATGAGTAAAGAGAAAAAAGAATTATACGGCAGGTCTTGAGGTCTAATTGAAAATAAAAGAAGCTGCAGAGAGAGGGCAAGAGCCACACTGGAAAAAGCAATAATCAAAACATGATATAAGAAAATTTCCTTCTGCAGGAGACTACAGTTGTTAGATCAAAAGGACTCATTGAGTACTAGGCAGGATAAATGAAAGAGAAAGATGCACCTTGATATATTCTGGTGAAATTCCTGAGCTTCAAGAATAAAGAAAAAAATATAAGCTTTCTAAAAGAAATAATACTTGTTTTGTTATAATACTTATTGTTATAATACTTATAAACAAATGACCAGAGATTGTCACCGGACATGGTTAAGAATACAGGCTCTGAAGTAAGATAGTCTGTGTTCAAATTCTGGTGTGAACTTGGGAAGTTAAACTTCTTTATGTTTATATAAAATAAGGATGAGGATGGTACTTAGCTTCTCAAATTGGCTGGAAGCAACAACTGAGATAATACATGGAAAAGTCCGGTACATAGTCAGTCACTACACTATTAACACCAAAAGTTGGATCAAAACTTCACAGATTTTTGAGGGCAAAAGCCTGAACCGCCCCCTATTTTAAGTACTACTGGTCTGAAGAACTGGACAACAACCCCACCCTGATGCCTCTCATGAGTGATAAACCTCCTGGTAGTGAAAAGTAAACTGACGGGCAGAATCTCATTGACTTGTTGTTTGCAAGAAAAGGACGACAGTTTTTTTGGCCTGGAGCTAAAGATTATTAGAGATGAAAATGTGTTGTGCCCTATCAGGGTAAACGGACCCATAGTCTCTTAGTTAGTGTGAACACTACTACACTGAATAGATCACCTGGGGCCAGCATGTGGTGGTGAAGGTGTTGGACTGCCACATGGCTGACCATGGTTCTAATCTCAGACCCAGCAGTTTGAAAATCACATTGAGTGCATGTGTGTGCATGTCCAAAATCCTGAGAGGAGAATGGAGAAGGGATTGAGGTATGGCTATCTCCCCTAGGGGGTAATTTCTTACTTTTCCTCTCACTGTCTTTCTGGCAAGCACATGTGGCCTAAGGCAAAAACCTAAAATATGATTAATTAATTAATCAATCTTCTTACCTACTGTCCAGGACTCTCAGAAAAGTAAAATAATATGGAACACATGGTTGCTTCATTTGCATATCAAAGAAGTTATTTCATTCATACAGCAAATGATAGAGCACATCTACCATGTGCCAGGAACTATACTGGGGATCTCACTATGTATGAAATATGCCAAGCCCCTACAATTAGAATGTCTGTATGATGTAAGAAACTGATCAGGCCTAAAACCCTTAATACATCTCTCTCTCTCTCTCTCTCTCTCACACACACACACACACACACACATTTAGCCCAATGACAAAAGAAATGAAAAAGTCAAATTTTAACATTGTTAATCATGAAAGTCTTTTATTTAAATTTTACTTAATTCAATTCTGTTTTTAATAGTTTTGTGAATTTAAAAGCTAGTATGAAAATTTGGTGAAACTCTTGAGGTAAGTACTTTATTTCTCCTTTCAAGACACCGTCAATGATCCCTTATGGAGAAAAAAAATATTTTTCACTTCAAACAGATCTTTTTCTCCAGCTTGTGTACAAGATATATGCCCTCTGAAAGTCTAACAAGCACTTAGCACCAACTAGAAATATTTTAAATGTTTCTCTCCTCACACTAGGTAAAAATTCCCTAGTCTATCTCCTCATCTTCAGACAGAAGCTTATTTCCTCAACCAAAAGGAAGCTACAGAAAGAACCGGTATATGATGAATGTAGTGAGTTGAACAGTGACCCCTAGAAAGAACCTGTGAATGGTATCTAACTTGGAAATGAGATCATGTGAACGATCCAGAGGACTCTAATTCCAATGACAAGTAGATTTTCTTCAAGTCAGTCTTTACAAGAGAAAGGCAGAGAGATTTGAGACAAACGGAAGAGAAGACTCAGAACAGAAAAGGAGGTGCTATGACAACAGAGGCAGAGACTGCAGTGAGGCAGCCACAAGCCAAGGAATGCCAATAGCCACCAAAAGCTGGAAAAGACAAAGAACACATTTCTCCCCTGGGCCTCTAGAAGTACCCTGCCAATATCTTGACTTTGAATTTCTAGCCTTCACAACAATGAACGAATACATTTCCATTGTTATAAACCACCCTGTTTGTACTAAATTGTTACAGTAACCATAGGAAAGTAACTCTGGGAACAAAAACCATTTTGGCAGGGAGCCCTGGGTTAAGGTCCCACTCCTGTCACTAGCCCCTACTAGCTCTACAGCAAATCTGTTAACCCCTCAGAGCCTCCAGACTCAAACTATCCTCTCCCAGAGTTCTTGTAAGAATCAAACGAGACTATGTATGTGGAAACAGAATGTTATAAAATCCCATACAAATAGGAATAATGATTCTTACACTTTATCTGGAATTTCAAATATTTGGAGCCTGGGCCCTTTATTCAAGCCTATTTGTGGCAACCCTTTACCTAATACTTGCCAAATTTCAGCAATGCCAACATTTTATCAATTCTGAATTATCAACTTTTATTTACAGAATTAAATTTTTAAAATAAATAAAAATATAGCTTCCACTAATGTACATAGTATCTCTTTCATATTAGGACTTAATGAAGGTCTAATAACCTTATCTTTTAGTTCACGTCCTGCCAGATATACTTTTACTACTGTCACACTAATTGAGATCATCTAATTGGTCTATTCCCCCCACATATATTAACAAATCAGTTTTAACTAATTTGCTTTCAACAATATCTGTGAACTCACTTAACATAATCATAATTCTTTCTCTAACTGACCTTAACTATTCCTTACTGAAATTTTCTCAACTAAGAATGAACCATTAATAACCTCTTCCTGAGGTGGTGTAGCAATTAAGGCTCTAGACTCCCATGTAGTCAACTGTAGTTAGAGTCTCGAACCCAGTGGCTTGAAACTCCCGTCAGGTACATGTGCATGCATGTGTGCCCAAAATCCCAAGAGCAGAATGGAGGAGAAGGGATTGCAGCATGGCTGTTCCCTCGCGGGGTGGGGGGGGGGGGGGGGATTTCTTATCTTTCTCTCATCTTTCTCTGTCTCTCTGGTGAGTGCACACATCTTATAGCAAAAATCTCTCTCTCAAAAATAAAAAATAAAAATAACTTCTTCCTCTTACTTCTGGTTTTTCCGCAGCAGGTGGATCCTGATCTACTGCCAGACCTAGTTCTTCTTTCCTGAAATAAAAAATATTTATGGAATATAACCATAAACTAAGGATATTAGTTCCACAAGTTATGCACAAAAACTAGCTTCATAGGGACCAGCAGTTGGCGTAATGCCTATGTTGCTGGAGTACCATGTAGTCGACCGCGGCTGGAGTCTGGGACCCGGTGGCTTAAAACTCACGCCAGGCACATGTGTGTGCATGCCCAAGATCCCGAGAGGAGAGGGGAGGAGAAGGGATTGCAGTGTGACTATTCCGCCCTGGGGGGTGATTTCCCACTTTCTGTCTCTCTGTCTCTCTCTGTCTTTTTGGTGAGCACACGTGCCCAATAGCAAAAACATCTCCAAAAAAAAAATAGAAAAAAAAAAACAACTAGCTTCATAACTCTAAAATCTTACTTTATCCATGTATAAGTTTATGCTTTCTAGGGGATTTTTTCATCACCATTTCATAATCAGAGTCACCAAACATAATCCAACTTATGGAAAAGTCAGTTCACTATAAGATTTCTTTCCTTCAGGGCAAGGAAGTCTGACATGGAAAACAATGAACTGGCACACTGAAAATGTAGTCTTGTACCAGAATTTTTCTTCTTCTCCCTGACCATTTTTCATTTTCTTCTTGCCATTGGAGTTGAATGGTATTCAAATCTTCCTTAGATCTAACACACAGTACCATAAAAATTTTATTGCCTGAAATTTTGTCTCTTCAGAAATCTCTAAGTAATCTTAAACAATTTCTTCCCAAGCCAAAGTTAAATTGTAAAGACCTCAATGGACTGTGAGACTGTAAATACAATAGCCACGCATAATCATCATTACTACCAACATACATCCTCTTGTTGGTGTTGCTAAAGATCGGTTCTTAAATCACAGTCTTCCTCCCACAATCTCTGGCTGCTATAATAGGCACATGTCATTACACACAGCTCGTCTCTAGACAAGGTCATGCTATACTGCTTAGGCCAGCATGGAGCTTGCAATATTCCTGCCTCAGCCTCTCAAATCACTGAAACCTCAGGAGCACACGACTACACCCAGACTTTAGGTTGGGCTAGGAATGAAGACCAGGCTTCCCTTGTGGCCCCAGCTTGTGAAACTTGCAGGTGGGCCTCCAACATACATTAATAAGATGAGATTTTGTTCAAGAATTGATTAGGTGTTCTTCCTGATCCCAGTAGCCTACATAAATGTAAACCAAAGGAACCAGCAGTTAGCATAATGGTTATGTCGCTGAACTCCCAAGTAGTCGACTGTGGTTCGAGTCCTGGACCTGGTGGCTTAGACTCACGCAGGGCGCGTGTACAGGTGTGCCCAAGATCCCGAGAAGAGAAAGGAGGAGAAGGCATTGTAGCGTGGCCATCCCCCCCCCCGGGGGGGGGGTGATTTCTCACATTCTGTCTTTCTGGCAAGCGCACACGCCCTATAGCAAAAACCCCTTCAGAAAAAAAAAAAAGTAAACCATAAAGCTCTTTTAAACAGTGGCCTCTTCAGACAATCAGTTCCATGAAAGTATGAAGATACTTCTTATTCTGAAATCTGTTAACTCTCCTGAGAAGAAAAACATGAGCTGAAGATATTCCTGAACTATATTCTAACTCTGGTGTTGGGATTCTTAATAATAGTATGAAAAACATTCTAAGAAGTCATCTGTTCCCATCCCCCATCTTAGCAATAGTGTAGAATCTGGCCCCCCGCCACTAGAGGGGGATGTTTCTTTTATTGGTTTCTCTTTCCCATAATTTGACCAGAATTTCTGGTTGAACTAGAAATAAACTTCAAGGTCAACCTCCTGACCTTTATTTTCTCCTTTAATATCATATGCCCCCCCCCTTCCTTTTTCAAGTCTGAGATTATTACTAAAACATAAATGTTAGTCCTTAATAATTTATATTATCATGTCCCATATCATACTTCATTGCCTTTCTAAAGATTAACAAACAGCTACATGAGGTCTTCAAATAGTTTATGGAAAATGTATAGTAAGAAAAAAAGTATGAATGGATTTTAAGCTTTTTTTGCACAAAATAAACTCGTTTATTAATTCCATTTTTTAAATGAATATTTTGAAATTTCCTTGTACAGAAAGCTTATTTTAGTGATTATGAAATTAGTTCACTGGACAATAATCAGAAAATTCAGTTGAGGATTCCCTTTTTTTTTTTTTTTAAGTGTTTTGGTTTTTTGTTTTCTTGTTTTTTTCTATTTGCCAGGTTCATGAAGTTTCTTTTGAATCACAATAAAAAACATAAAAAAACAGGCACTGGCAACAAATTTTAAAGAGGAAATCAAAGTTGTTAAGTGATTTGTCCAGGATTCAGGTAGCACTAGTAAAACCATAATGAAGACTCAAACGCCCTGACTCCTGGACAATTTCTGTTACTACTTATTCTATGCCATGAGAAAAAAAGCACTGGATAAGTAATGGACCAACTGCTGACCTGCTCTTTCTTTTTACACACCAGCACCAATCAAATAGTTAAATACAATTACTTACTGTACCTCCTTATTAGTCCTGTAAAATACTATGTACTACATCTGCTTAGAATATCCCCCACTGGGGCCGGCAGGTGGCGTGGTGGTTAAGGGCACTGGGCTCCCACATGGTCGACCACAGTTTGAGTCCCGAACCTGGCAGCTTTCTTTCGCTCTCTCTCCCTCTCCCTCTCGCTCTGTCCCTCTCCGGTCAAATTAAAATAAATAAAATTAAATAAAATAATTCTTTAGGGGTTAAAAAAAAGAATATATTCCACTGGCCATTAAGTCACAAAGCAAAGAAGAAGTGAATAAGGGAAATAAGGAGAAAGATGGGAAGGGAGAAATAAAAAAAGGAAATAAATCTATCCAATAATATCATTTTTAAAAGAATTATTTTATTTAACATACATACATACATACATACATTTATTTATTTATTTTCATTTGACCAGAGAGGGACAGAGTGAGAGAGAGAGAGAGAAAGCAAGCTGCCGAATCCAGGACTTGAACCACAGTTGGCCAGGTGAAAGTTTAGCACCTCTAACTACCATGCCACCTGTCAGCCCCCTCTCCAATAATCTTAGGGCCAGGTATAAGATACAAAATAACCAAGGTAAAAAAATCTGCAAGGCCAAGGTCAAAGCAAGAAATCAGAATCAGAAAAAGAATAAACGACTAACCAATGGACCAGTCACACCACCAGATATTCCAACAACTCACAAGATTCCAGAAAAGATGGTGAGTGCTAGTTTTTGCTGTCTTCTATGAAGATCCCTGTCCTAGGCAGGGCCCCTGAGAGAAGACATAGACAAGAATCGGTTAGAATCTGCATCCATATTATGAAGCTTGATGACGGGGAGGGAAAAGGCCTGATAAAAAAGAAACCTATCAAAATAAAATCAAATTGGGAACCAGCAGTTAGCGAATGGCTATGTCACTGGACTCCCACATAGTCGACCACGGTTCGCGTTCCGGACCCGGTGACTTAAAACTCACGCCAGGCACGTGTGCGTGTGTGCCCAAGATCCCGAGAGGGGAATGGGGGAGAAGGGATTGCGGTGTGGCCATCCCCCCTGGGGGGTGATTTCTCGCTTTCTGTCTCTATGTCTCTGTCTGTCTGGCGAGCACATGCGCCCTATAGCAAAAAAAAAAAAAAAAAACTCTCCAAAATAAAAACAAATCCACCTGACACAAATCTGAGTGGGACAAAGTGGGTCTGTCACTCAGGATACTTTCAGTAGCAAAAGACAAACAGTAGATGATGCTGGTTTATTTAATGAGGAAGGGTACTATCTCACAGAACAGGAAGTTGAGAGGTAAGGCAGACCATGTAATCGGGTTTCTTCCATTTCACTGTTCTATCATCTCCTAGATCAGCTTCACCCCAACGCAAGTTTCTCCCATTGTCACAAGGTGGCTAGAAGAGTTCTAGCCATCATATACAGACATAATTTAAGAGCATCACCTTTTTCTTTTATTTTTGTTTATTTTTTAAAGAAACGTTTTTGCTATATAGGGCATGTGCACTCACTGGAGGAACAGAGAGACAGAAAGCGAGAAATCATCCCCCAGAGGGGATGGCCACGATGCAATCCCTTCTCCTCGATTTCCTCTCAGGATCTTGGGCACACATGAGCACTCACCCAGGATGAGTTTTAAGCCACTGGGACTGGGACACAAACTATGGTCAACTATGTAGGAGTCCAGTGACATAACCATTACAACATCTCTCTTTTAGGATTAAGAAATCATTTCTCAGGACCAGCAGTTGGTGTAATGGCTATGTCACTGGACTTCCATGTAATTGACCGCAGTTCGAGTCCTGGACCTGGTGGCTTAAACCCATGCTGGGCGCATGTGTGTGCAAGCTCAAGATCCCGAGAGAAGAATGGAGAAGGGATTATGGCGTGGCCATCCCCCCCGGGGTGTGATTTCTTGCTTTCTGTCTCTCTGTCTCTCTCTTTCTGGCAATCGCACATGCTCTATAGCAAACCCCCCCCCCCCAAAAAAAAAAAAAAAAAAAAACCCTTTCTCAGAAGCGCTCTAGTCCTCCAAACTTTCCTTCACATCTCATTGGCCAGAGCAGGTTATGGGCCATTCCTAACCCTTCACTGGCAAGGGAAACAGTATTAACAATGATTGCTTAGACTCGTCATCTGGGGTACAATAAATGCTGGGGAGTCAATCACCATGAGCATACTATTGGCAATTTATAATAATGATGAATATTATTGTGACATTGCTTTCATCCCATAACAAATCTATAACCTAATTACGCAGCTTCCATGATCTCAAATACAAGGTGTGTGTCTTGCCTAAGCATCATATCACCACCCTTTGCTCACATCCTATATTTACCACAAACTTTTCAGACATAAAACATTTTATTCTAACTTTCTAGCCAATCCACACTTAAAAAGAAAACTTTAGTGTGACATTTTAGAGCAAGAAGGGTAAACAGGCTTTTCTCCAACAGATAATGGCTATTTGGAAACACATTTTGAGAAAGCTCTAACTATAGCTGAGTTTGGATCCAGTGAGAAACAGTGTCAGGACTGATCAGTGAGTCTACATGGACTCAGGCTTAGGCACAACACATAGCACATATTTGCCAACTCTGTTTTAGAGGAACTCTTTAAATAACATATATCCAACAATGGATTTCTCTGCCACAATGTTTCTTTAATTTTTATTTTAATGAAGACCCAATCTAATCTTTCTCACTTCACTCTCATCTAATTTATATTCATATACATGTAACCTACATCAAGCATGAACTCCAGAAAATATTTTCTGTATAATCAGAAAATTCCACAGGAAATCTGTAACTGAGCCCTTTTAGTAACTCCACAGAAGGCTTAGCAGAATGCTATCATTTAAAAACCGCCTTGGGCTTGCAGGTGGTGTGGAGGTTAAGGTGGTTGGATCCCACATGGCCCACTGTGCTGTTTGAGTTCCCAGCCTGACAGCATGAAAAACATTCCAGGAGCATGTACATGCATGCATGGCCAAAATCCCAAGAGGAGAATGGAGACAGTATTGTGGTGTGGCCACATCCTCTGGGGAGTGATTTCTCACTTTCTCTCTCTCTTTCTCTGTCTCTCTCTGGTGAGCACATATGCCCTATACCAAAAAAAAAAATAAGAACGGGGGAAAAAAATAAATAAATAAACACCACCTCACTTCAAGCAGGGGTGTCAAGACAGGACTGAAAGACAGGAGGGAAAAGAGACTTCCAATCTATTCCCAACTAAAAATAGACTGTCCACAAGGAGGACTGTCCCCAAGACAACAAGAAAGAAAGAAACCAAAGCCTAATCCTAAAAAAAGGTGACTAACAGAGAATTGGAGAATACTTAAGTAAATCATGGCAAATTACAAACAGTACACATAGTTTTGTTTTGTTTTAAATAATTGTTTTATTTAACTTTATTTTATTAATTTTAAAATTTGAACAGAGAGGAACAGAGTGAGAGAAAGAGAGAGAGAGAGGGAAAGTGAGAGAGAGAGAGAGGGAAAGTTAGAAAGCAAGCTGCCAGGTCTAGGACACGAACCCTGGCTGCCCATGTGGGAGTTCAGCACCCTTAACCACCACGCAACCTCCCGCCCGAGTACACAGAGTTTAAAATATGTATAAAATGCATTTAAAAGGATAAGGGCAACAAAGGTTATTCCTGGATAAATTAATCTATAGCTTTTTTCTTTCTATTCCTTATCTATATTTTTCTGAGCATTCTGTACTATACATGCAGTGCCTTTTTAATGAGGAAAGGAAAACATTAAGGGAAACATGTTTTTATCTTATCGCTAGATGTTTGGGTTGCTACAATTAACCTCTTATTCCTTACAGTTAAGATCACACTTGTCCAATTATTCTCCTATTGCTGGGCAGCTAGGATGCTTTAACTTTGTGATATCATATGCAACAGAGTGTTGCTATAGCTGAAAATAAATTTGAAATATAAAAGAAGAAAAATTCACCAAATGCCCAATCACTCCATAATGTACTAATTACCACAACTCAAAAAACAGTAATTTAAGATATTAATTTTGACCAAATCATTGTTTCAACCAAATTGCCCAACTGACCAATTTGCTTTTAATTAAATTGGTTTTGGCCAAAGTAACTTTTAAATCCAACTGGTACTAGACATAGTATGCTACCAGGATGATGGGCAAGTTGGAAGGCAGAGATAAGAAGCAGGGTCATAAAAGGCCCAATAGTACAGAGCAGGCAAGAGGGCCTGGGCAAGCCTAGAAGGTAAAAGATTGCTTGGGGCAGTTCAAAGTGGAAGGAAATCTTTTATCAAGGAGCTAAAAAACTAGCCCAAGAGGCTGACAGGTGGCATGGTGGTTGCGGGCACTGGACTCCCACATGGTTGACAGTGATTCAGTCCCAGATCTGGTGGTTTTCCTTCTCAATTTCGTGTGCTCGCTCTCTCTCTCTCTCTCTCTCTCTCTCACACACACACACACACACACACACACGCATGCACACATTTTGTCCCTCTCTGGTCAAATTTAAATAAATGAGTGAATGAATGAATAAATAAATAAATAAGTTCTTTAGTGGGTTAAAAATAAACTAGCCCAAGTAGCCTAGAGAGGACTAAAGTATGGTCAATTTCACCTAGTAGAACAAAGTCAAGGTTTTCCTTGGGTTCCATAGGTTTATAAAATTTAATCTGGGGCCCAGCAGGTGGCATAGTGGTTACATCAATAAACTCCCACATGGCCGATCATGGTTCAAGTCTCAGACCAGGTGGCTTGAAAATCATGCCAGGCATGTGTGCATGCATACCCAAGATCCCGGGAAAAGAATGGAGGAGAAGGAATTGCAACATGGCCATCCACCCTAGGGAGTGATGTCTCACTTCCCCTCTCACTGTCACTGTCTCTCTCTCTTTCTCTCCCTATAAGTGCAAGTGCCCTATGATAAAAACCTCTTACCAAAAAAAAGGAGAAAGAAAAGAAAAGTGCTTGAGGTTCAAATTGAGAAGGCATTTCTCCAAAGTCATTCAGATGAGGTTCTGAGGCCAGCCCCTGCTGCATCATGGGAATCTGCTGGCATTGCTGAAGAAGGCAGAGATGCAGCATGGTAAGACAGCTTTGCCACTAAAGAAGGTATACAATAGAAAGAAAAACATAAGAATCGTGTCCATATTCAGATACAGCAAAGTAGGTGTGAAAAAAAGTAGATGAATCAGTTCTGGTTTTAGTAACAAGCAAAACTGTGTACCAGAGTTTTCATAAATGGTGTTGAGGCAACTGAGTAGCCATTTAGGAAATAAAATAAAATAAGTTGGACCAATCCCTCACATCTTACACCAATAAAGATGGACCAAAACTTTAAATGTAATACAGAAATCATAAAATAGTGGAAGTCAACATGAGAGAATTCTCTCATAACTTTGGAGTGGAGCAGGTTTTTTTTAACTATGACAAAATCCAGAAGTCATGAAAGAAGACTGACATATTTGACTACATTAAAAAATAAATCTACACAGCAAAAACATCATAAGCAAAGCTGAAAGACAAATGACAAATGAGGGGAAAACATGCTGCAACTCATATTACAAAGGGCAAATCTCCATATTATAAAAAGCAACTACAAAGTGATTTAAACCACCCCCGCCTCCCAAAATAAGCAAAGGATATACACTTCACAGAAAAAAGGAAATATAAATGGCTCTTCAACATATGAGGAGATGTTCAAACTTACTCATAAGAGAAACACAAATTAAAACTACACTAAGATAACATTATTCACCTACAGGACTGGAAAAAATCCAGAGATTAAATAACACATTTTGTTGGCAAGAAAATGAGTAACCAAGCATTCTCCTGTATTTCTGGTAAGGGGTTAACTGTACAAGCCCTATGGAAGGCAATTTAGTAGTACCTATCAAATTTCTATGATACATACCTTTTGGCCCAACAATACCACTTTTAGGGAATTACCCTACAAATATAGTTGTATGACTGCAAAATAATCTATGTAACTAAAGTATTTATTGAAGCTTCCTTGTAAAAACAAAAGACTGAAAATTTCCCAAGTATCTATCAATATGGAACTGGTCAAATAAACAATGATATATCCACGGGATGATGTAGAAGTGATCTCCAAAATAGATTATTAAGTGAAGTATATCTTGGATATTTTTCCACGGTTATGAAAAAACTCCAAGATACACTGCTAAGTGAAAAGGCAACAAAACATAGAAGCTCCCATGTGTATGAAAAAGGAAAGGAAAATAGAACTTATATTTGTATTGGCTTGGAAATGCATTTAAAATCTCTGTAAGAATGGTGACTTAGTAGAGGAAGACAAGAGTATAAAGGAAATTTTTCATTTCTAAATGCTTTGTTGTTTGAATCATGCAAACACATACCTTTCCAAAAATTAAATTTTAAATATGGGAGCCAGCAGGTGGTGTGGTGGTTAAGGTGCTAGATTCCCACATGACCAACCATGGTTCAAGTCCCAGGCCCAGCAGCTTGAAAATCACAACAAATGAATAGATACATAAATGTTAAAGGGCCAACGGGTGGTGTGGTGGCTAAGGCGCTAGACAGCTGCCGATCACAGTTCAAGTCCTGGTGGCTTGATTTCTCACTTTCTCTCTTGCTTGCTCTCTCTCTCTGTCTCTCTCTGGTCAAATTAAAATAAATAAATGAATGCATAAATAAAATTAAATTAATAATTCTTGTTCAAATAATCTTTAAGGGAACCAGCAGTTAGCTTAATGGCTATGTCACTGGACTCCCACGTAGTCAACCACGGTTCGAGTCCTGGACCCGGTGGCTTAAAACTCACGCCGGGCGCATGTGCGTGTGTGCCCAAGACCCCGAGAGGAGAATGGAAGAGAAGGGATTGCAGCGTGACCATCTCCCCTGGGGGGTGATTTCTTGCTTTCTGTCTCTATGTCTCTGTCTGTCTGACGAGCGCACGGGCCCTATAGCGAAAATCTCTCCAAAATAAATAAATAAATAACCTTTAAAAAAAGTTTAAAGAAAATAATTTTTTTAATGTTTAAATATGTTAAATAAATAGGAGTTCCTAGTTCATATTATACAGGTGGGTCTCCTAGTCTACTGGTGATGATAGACAAATGACTGTGATCTTAGAGGCCTTGAATAGTAGCACAGAGAACTGAAAAGCAAAGGCAGAAGTCTGATGACTAGAGGTGAGAATACACTGATGAATAATATGTTATACATAGCCAGACCAGAGATAGTGAAGAACAGAATCTTATAAAAGAATCATAACAAGATCAAGAGGTAAGCCAAAGATTAATTATTTGGGCATGTCTGGCATCAAAAGATAGTACAGTTCCTTTGAGTACCTGAATTGGTTCAAGTAGAGTTCAAATACAGATAACAAGACTGGTGTAACTCAGTGGTATTACTGCCCTTCGTATGGGCAACCAGAAGTGTCTCTCGATCAGTTCAATGGAGGACAGGGTAGTACAGTAACAGCAGCATAATCGCACACAGTAGGCCTCCTCTGTGCCTCTTCATGGCCAACCATGAGCTATCTCAGAAAAGTGACTAAGTCATGAGGCCAGTTAGGATAAAAATAGAATATTTTGAATAAAACTTCCTGGAAATGGGTTTCATTCATTCATCGAACATTCATTGAGCACATGGGTCCAGCAGTTAACATAATGGCTATGTCACTGAACTCCCACATAGTTGACCGCGGTTCAAGTCCCAGACCCAGTGGCTTAAACTCACACCGGGTGCATGTGTGTGCATGCCCAAGATCCCAAGAGGAGAATGGAGGAGAAGGGATTGATGGATTGTGGCATGGCCATTCCCCCTCAGGGGTGATTTCTCGCTTTCTGTCTCTCTGTCTCTCTCTGTCTTCCTGGCGAGCGCAAGCGCCCTATAGGAAAAAAAAAACTAAAAAAAAACCAAAATTTATTGAGCCCCTACACTATGCTAAAAACTACTCTAAGTCCTCAAAAAAAAAAAAAAAAAAAAAAATCCAGACACACACACACACAAAGAAAAACAAAAAAAATTCTACCCAAAGATGACAGAGGTCCAAGACAATTGAAATGAAAGGACATTTTAAAAGACTATGAGATTAACAGAAACTCTACTTAAATATTTTTAAATATGGGGACAAGCAGATGGCACAATGGTTACGTCGCTGGACTCTCACATAGCTGACCATGGTTTCAGTCACCGACCCAGTGGCTTAAAACTCACGCCAGGCTCATGTGCATGTGTGCCCAAGATCCTGAGAGGAGCATGAAGGAGAAGGGATTGTGGTGTGGCCACTCCCCTGGTGGTAGATTTCTCACTTTCTGTCTCTCTGGCAAGCACATGTATCCTATAGCAAAAATCTCTTTAAAGAATTTTTTTTTAATATGACAAGGTCAGTAAAAGGCAATTTAACAACTATAAACTGCTATGAAATTAGGGTAAACAGAATTCAAATTTTATCCAGATACTTGTATTAATGAAAATATTAATTTAACACATGTATTTAAAATAAAAAACATTTTCAGAAATTAGAAAAAAATAAGATAGTTTTACTTCAATTTCACTAAACTTAAATAGCAGAAATCTTTAAAACATGGCTTTCTAGCCTCCTCACCACAATTGATAAAACAGGAAAACATAACTGGAAAAGAGAACTAATTTAGAACAGATGTCAAGGAGGTATTTTTCCAGTAGTGAACTATAAACACATGGAATAAATACCAGAAAATGTATTATGGTAAAAAATCAGAATCAGCTACTAATTAAATGATCTAAGCAGGAAGTCATACACCTAAATATGTAGAATAGGCACTTAAAAAGTAACCCTAAATTAATGGACAAACCAGGTTTTTACTATATAAATCTAACTTAGAGAACACGTATACCTGCAAGCTGTTAAAATTTAGCAACCTCCAAATGCTCATAAAGTCAGCTCTAATTTATCCATAAAGATGTATCCAACTTCCAACCTAACTGGTTAAATAAATGACAACATAATAAAATTTACTGTATTCTTCCTGATCGCTTTGCTTGCTAACATTTTTAAACACCTAAGCTGTTACTTTCTTTATGATCTGCCTTCTTAATAATTCACTCTCTCTATTCACATTCTGAAAGGAGATGCAAAAAGACTGACAAAGCCTCCACGCCTTGTCTAGAAGCAGCAGAAAGAGGACAGTTTTGCCTGCCCAACATGTAGTGAGACTCAGAAAGAAGCTACAGGGGAGAAATCCGTTCTGATGGAAGTTTGCTAATTTGTAGGAAGTCACTTTGTGACTCATCCATATTCAAATGAATGTACACAAACAAATTCCTAAGCTAAATAAAAAATGACTTTTGGACCAGTCAGGTCTTGTTTCTCCTTTATGGACAGAAGGCCGTGGCGCTGGCAGCACATCAACTCACAGGCCACCAGGACCCCACTTGATGGCTATTTGTTTGCCACGCAGGTCAAAGAAGTTTATTAGTTTTACTACTAATATAATACTACCACTAAAAGCATATGTGTTATATACTAAAAACTTAATGAGCCTCCTGACCTCGGCAATCAGGTAGTGAGTTAGGAGAGACCAGGACAAAGCTGACTCATGATCAACAATACTTGGCTGGCCAAAAAAAGCATTCAATTTAGAACCTGAAAGAGCCTAAAGGATCTTAAGGGGAGCCCAACACTATCATTTTACAGATAATGATATTTAGACTTCCCAAAAGATTAACCTATCCAACGTTGGGCAGCTTGCTTCTAGACAGCAAAGCCAGACTTGGGCCTCTGAGTTGCAATCTAGTGCTCTTTGTCACATACAGCTTCTCACTATCGGAGAATATGCTGAAGGAATTGAATTTATGCACTCTTTTTTTTTTTCCCTCAAGATTGGGGTGTTGGGAAAGGGTTATGTAGTTATATTTGGAAAGAAGTATTTACTTCATCCATCAACTCTGCTGATATGCAGATCTTATTTCATAGGCAAAAATAGTATCCTAAATTGATTTATCACATATGAGTAATAACTTACCCCCCCAAAATTATCATAATCTTCCAGAGTTTACCAATGATTGGGGAAAACATGAATAAGAAATAAACTATCCTCTTAAGACTGCAACCCTGATCTCCTGCCATTATTACTAATGAATGAGGAAAGTTTATTTTATAAGGTTTGAAAATATTAGTACTACTGACGATATTAAGAAATATTTTCATCTTGAGTTTTTACTAAAATGTGCTATAACACAGAAAGTCTTTCCTGATCTACTATATTACTTTTTCCTTGTTAAAGTAAACTTTATTATTCTGAGTCACACTGGCTTCCATCTGAAAATTCTGATAAATTATAATTCCAATATCTTTTTGCCCAGTTTACCTCTATATAGTCATACACATGTATACAAATCTTAGAAAAGGTAAGAAGTTCAAGAATTTTCTATCAACACTTATGTCATGGTTCTTAATTCTCTAAATCTTTAGAAATTTTTCCAAAAGTTGATATTAACATTTCCTAACCTACCACATCCAATTCATCATTGAGAAAAAGCAGCATAAGAGAAAGTGCAAATGGGAGGGGGGAGAGGTTAGTTATAAGAGTCAAACCAAAAGTCTATCAGGAAAAACAAAAGTATAGCAAATCTTCCTACGCAGACATAACAGGTACAAGCCATTTCCTTGTTATCACACGCAGCTGTCTGTATGTGGCCAGCACCTTGACGAGGTACATTCAATGACGAGTATCAAAAGTTGAGGTAAAGAAAACATGTTATGATCTCATCTAGTTTACTCATGCCAAGAATATCACAATCCATTTAATTGGGTATGTAAATTATAGCTGTTCTACTGACATTATTTCATGGATATTTAATATCTATACTGAATATTTTTAAATGCCACAGAGATTTCAAAGACGTGTGAGGCTGGCTTTTGAAGTTTACTATTTGACAAGAGCAGAGGTTATGGACATCAGAACACAGAAAGAAGGCAGTAAAATAGGAACTTCATGAAAAAATTGAAGCACAATCTGAGTTCACTCCTTCAGCTAGTTTTAGAGGAAGGGTAAGATTTCAAAAAACAGAGAAGACGTGGGGAGGAGGAAATGCCATAAAAAGGAAAACCATGAACAAATGTGGGAGACTGAAAGGATGCCTGAAGAACAGAAAGGATGCCAATCTGACTAGGACCCGGATACTCTGGAAATAAAGGCCTTTGAGTTTTATTTTGGAGACAAAATCCAGCTGCTGAAGACTTCTGAGGCCAAGAGTGACACAATGATGTATTTTAGGAAGACTAGTCTGGCAATCATAGATCTGATAAGGAAGGGAAGGTTACACAGGTAGTTCCGATAGAAAATTACTGCAATAATCCCAGCTTCCTGAGCCAGGTATGTAAATGCATAAAATCAATAACAGTTGGAAGTTACTAAATTTATGTACTTTAGTATAGTATAAAACTTCTACAATAATTTTATAAAACTTGGACTTACAATTACTTTTTTCCTTCCTAATTTTACCTTAGGTAACAATTCTGGCTTGGAATTTTTATTTTACCTTCCTTCACCTAATCTTTGCTTTAAGATTCATCGTCAT